TGCTTTTACATAATTTTCCATTTTTGAACAATAAAATTTGCAACCAGACTTTGGACATTCTCTTATGTCCAATAATCTTTTGTTGAATTATCTCAAAATTAGAAGAAACATAATACTCTTTAAGACTCTTTGTCATGATTTGTTCATACTGATTATTGCAATTCTTTTTTTCCAAAATTATATTTAATATTACCATCTTCATATTACTCTTCAATTTTAGCTAAATAATTCCACAGGCTTTCCCAGCTTAAATTGAGTTTACAATTCAAAGGATATTAAAACTTGATGCAAGCTTTATATTTTATAAAACATACTATAACTGAATCTATAATAAAATTACATTACACTATTTGTATAACACTGTGATATTTCTTTAATGGCTACTTTAAAAAAAAAACCACTGATTCCCCCCACAAATGAAAATGGCAAAGTATCTAGATCCTATTTTCATTTTTATATTATAAACTGAATAATGAAATCCCTTCTGAAATTCTGTCACACAGATGTTCTAGTGTAATTTTCTAATAATACAGAACCCAAATTTCTATTGCAAATAAATTAATAAAATAAACCAATGAATATAATTGAGATGTGGAGTTAAAAGTATCAGACCTTCATCCTAAACATCTATTCCAGAATTAAAATAAACTTAAACAGATTAAAATTCCTTCTTTACAAAAAGCCTGAACTTTGCAATGTTCCTTGAAAAAAACAACAACACACACACACACTTACTTACAGGACAATCCTGTAGAGTTCTACTAAAAATTGGCTACAATTTGTTGTAATGTACAGACTTCTAAGAAAGTTAAGAGGACTTTGTTTGAGTAAACATAGCCAAGTTCAGGTTCTAATATGTTCTCTAGAATTGCACAATTCAAGCGATAAAAACAATATGGTTAAAAATATCCACTACCTAGTATATCCACTTTTTCTTCTTTTATTATATTAAGATTTACATGCATTAAATTATACTAAGCTGTAAATATACTATTCCAATCAGAGAAAACTATAAGGAATGGACTTTCTGAAATCAACTTATTATATTCACAATTTGTACTTCTGGCTTCTCAGATTCACCTTATCACATATTATTATTGGCATTAGTGATTGTTTAATATAGCAAAAGACAAGTGTTCTAAAGTGCATTTGCTGGTTTTGCTAAACAATGTTGTGCAGAGTTTAGCATGGTTTCACAAAGAACTCTGTTAAACTAAAAGACAAAAAGGATAAGCATAAAAAATGGAAAGAGGGACACATAACTAATAAAGATGAAGTCAGGAAAGCTAAGGCTCAGAATGAGCTAAAACTTGCAACAAATGTAAAAAATAATTTAGAAAGTTTCTTTCAACATATAAAAAACAAGAAAAAAGTCTAAGAAACAATTGCCCCCCTAATGGGAGAAGATTGCAAGGAAGTGACCACCAGCAGGGAGAAAGCAGAGTTGCTTATTTTTTTCTTTGCATCTGTCTTCACACAGAAAGAAAAAATAGTCCGACCTACCAAAAACAAAACAGCAAAAACAGCCAAGGAATTAAAATTGAAATAAGCAAGAAAATGGTAAGAGAACTCCTGTCCACTCTAGATGAGTTCAAATCACCGGGACTGATGGATTAGATCTGAGTTCTGAAGGAGCTGACAGATGCGATCTCAGAACCATCAAACCTTATCTTTCAAAGATACTGGAGCACCAGGGAATTACCGGAAGATGTGATTCCCATCTTCAAAAAAGGGAAAAAAATAGATCCAGGAAACTACAGGCCAATCAGCCTGACATCAATACCTGGGAAGATCCTGGCAAAGATAATCAAGCAACCAATTTGTGAACATCTAGACGCACACAGTTATAACCAGAAAGCAACGTAAATTTGTCAAAAACAGATCATGCCAAACAAATCTTACTTCATTCTTTGACAAAGTGACTAAATTAGTGGACCAGTGAAACGTTGTGGATATAGCACACTTGGATTTCAGTAAAGCATTTGACAAAGTAAACCACAATCTACTCCTTGGTAAGCTAGAAAAATGTGGGATAGATAGCATCACCACCAGTAACTGGCTGACAAACTGCACTCAATGTTTAGCCTTTAATGGAAATACATCTACATGGAAGGAAGGAAGCAGAGGGTTAAAACAAGGTTCTGTTTTAGGCCCAGTACTCTTCAATATCTTCATAAATAATTTAGATGAGGGGTTAGAATAATTACATTTGCAGACGACACCAAGCTGACAGGAATAGTCAACACTCCAGAAGATAGGCCCAAGAGCCAGATGGATCCCCACAAACTTGAACACTGGGCTCTATCTAACAAAATGAAATTCAATGTAGACAAAAGCAAGGTTTTTACACTTAGGCAAGAAAAACCAAATGTACAGCTACAGATTGGATGAAACATGGCTCAATAGTAATAACTGTGAGCAGAACTGTAGTCCTATTGGACAATCACTTAAATATGAGACAGCATTATGCTGCAGCCATCAAAAAAGCCAATCTAATCCTAGGCTGCATAAACAAAGGGATAGAATCAAGATCTCCTGAACAAAGGGATAGACTCAAGATCTCCTTAGTACCACTTTATAAGACTTAGTTAGATCACACTTGGAATATTGCATCTAGTTTTGATCATCACAATGTAAAAAAAATGCTGAGATTCTGGAAGGAATGCAGAGAAGAGCAACAAAGATGATTAGCAGGTTGGAGGCTAAAACATATAAAGAATGACTGCAGGAATTATGTATGTCTAGTCTAGCGAAAAGATGGACTAGGGCCGACATGATAACAGTGTCCCAATATTTGAGGGACTGCCACAAAAAAGAGGGGGTCAACCTATTTTCCAAAGCACGAGAAGACAAAACAATGGATGGAAACTAATCTAAAATGAGAAGCAACCTAGAACCAAGGAGAAATTTCCTGACTGTGAGAACAATAAGCCAGTAAAATGGCTTGCCTTCAAAAGTTGTGGGTGCTCCATCACTGGAGGCTTTTAAAAACAGATTAGACAGACCTTTGTCTGAAATGGTATAGGGTCTCCTGCTTGAACAGGGGGTTGGACTAGAAGGCCTCTCCTTCCAACTCTGCTATTCTGTACTGCTCTGTTTAGCATGATCTCTAAACAGGGACAATTTATTAACAGAGACAGGTTAAAACACAGAATTTTGGTTACATTCTGATACTGGGGCTCATTTATAATTAACTTCTGCAAAATGTGATTCTGGCTGTTATTGAAATCCAAATTGGAGAAAGACCAATGGTTAACTTTCTTCTTTAGATGTAACAGAGATAGTGGTTAAGGTACCTGGTGAGAAACTGGGGGATTTTGAGTTTTAATCCTACCTTAGGCATAAAGGTGGCTGGTGATCTTGGGCTACTCATTCTCTCTCAGACCTAGAAAGAAGACAATGGCAAGCCACTTCTAAATTCTTGCCAAAAAATTTTTAGGTCTCAACATTCACTCCAAGATGCACACACATACACAGAATATAGAGCTGGATCTTTCTACTGCTAACATTATTATTATATAGCCATTTTATAACCAAGTTCAAAGAATTCTTGACAAAGAAATGTTATTATGGAGGGCGAACGGGCGGTTTAAAAATGTGATAAATAAATAAAAATTATCTCACCTATATGTATCAAATATTTATATAGAAATAGTAAATAATATAAAGCTTCCTGTATACTTTAATTCCACCTGTTCCCGTTCTATTTAAAAAAAATCAGTACATACCACAGAGTGTATACATTTTTTAGAATTCCCTTAAAAATCCAACTGTTAAAAATATTTTATAACCTGACTATATTAAGTCTATCAATATCACAAATATAAACTCTCATATTATCACATTCCTCAAAAGGAATGAAAGTCCCGTTGCCTTTTGGACAAGCATCTTTGGGACAACCATGACATGGATGATTGAGGATCTCCATAGACACTCAAAAGTAGGAGGAATTATTTATTATTTCTTTATATTTCATATTTCTAAATCACTCATTCCACTCAAAATGGGGTTCTGGGCGGTGTACAATTTGATTGATACATAAAACAACATATAAAAATTAAAATTAAAAATTAAATTGGGGTTAAAAACTTTAAAATTATAGAATGACAAACATCCAAAGGGAAAAAAAAATCCTAAAATGGCCATTTAACATTAGATTATTACAAGTGGAAGGGCTAACCAGCCCCACAGTTGCCTGGTCCTCTGTGCCTCTAATGCAAGGATACAGAGCCAAATTTTGTTCCCTTTGCAGAAGGCCAAGAGATTGAGGACTTTCTTCACCTCTGGTAGCAGCATGGTCCACAAAGTGAGCACTTTTCCTGGACCCCACCAGTCAAAAACCTGTCTGTAGCATACTTTCCTGGTCTGATTGAGTGGGACAGACTGATGAGATTGGATAGGGACAGTTCTGGATGTAACCTGATCCTATGCCATGAGTTTGACACCCCTGCCCTAGACTTATTAACTTTTGGATCATGATTATCATCATGTTCTGCAAAGCCTGTTGTGGTTTTTTAGATAGTTGGAACTGTCTACTCTTCTATAGACCAAAATAAACCGAATAAAAGAAATCAGGATTTTGAAATAGTAGGCTGCATTAGATTATTTCACGAGTCACAAATTTACTAAATTTGAATTTACTAGAACACTATCAAAAAGCAGAAATGAAAATTATTTTTTTTAAATCTAGGAAGTGGTCTGGTGGTATGCATACCATTAATTTAACAGTGTTAATGTATTAAATTACCAATGGAAACAAAAGGAATTTGTTTGTAATGTGAGTAGGCCAAGTATTTGATTTCTTTGGACTATACAGAAATTGATGATTGAAAGAAATGAAGAATGTCAGCCTATAACAATTCTTCAATTGAATAAACTGAATGTCTTTAAATATATGGAGAAAATTAGAAACAGAAATTGCAAGCACTTTACATTTTTTATTAAAATGTCAGCCTGTACAAATCAAAATATATTCGTAACAATATATATGAAAATCTTACCCATCTCTTCCTTTACTGACAATTTTTACTTCAAAATAATATATTCCACAAGCAGCAGGTATCGGGTGAGTGGCGCGAACAGAAGCAGCATCTTTTGGAGTTTTCCCATGACCTGTAAAAATATATATTAAATTATATTCTAGAAATTGAAGACAATGTATTCATTAATAAAACAGCTACAAAATCAAGTATATGTGAGAGGCTAAACATCAACCCTAGAAACATGCATTCAATTTAGTGGTGGCCTGTCTTCTGCAATGAGGTCCCTCTGAGACTGGGATAGTCCCCCATTTTACTGATGTTTTGAAGATTCTTGTAGACATGTGTCTATGTCCAGACCTTTGACAAGGTCCCCTTAGGATTGTATAGGTTTATTGTTCACTTCTGTTTCGGATCAATTTCTATCATCCATCTTTTTTTCTTTTATTTTTACCTACTGTATTTTTTTGTTTTAAATATTTTTACTTGTGAATTGCTCTGAATAGTTGGAAGTTGGTTGTTATACAAATTCAATAAATCATTATCATTTTCATCATCATTTTGATCAGAAAAGAAGGAAAGATTCATTTGTAAAACAATTGTATTAAAACAACGGTTAATTTACAACCATTCCCTTGTACCTTAAAAAAATTACAAAGAGTTTAACATTAATTTCTTTAGAGCAAAGACTATTTTACTACTTCTACGTAATTAATTTTTTTTTGTTTTATTCTTCAGAAAGACATCTGCTCTTAGTACTTATTAAAAAAAAAATCTCTCAAACTAGTAAATAAGACTAATCATGGCTAAATAGTTTTACAGATATAAGACTATTTAGATACCTGTATAAGATTTGAAACCATTGATGATATTTGAAATGATTCTATGTATGTGTTAAAATACAGTGGTACCTTGGTACTCATTAATTGGTTCTGGGAGGTACAATGAGTACCAAAAATGATGAGTACCAAACATTTTCCCCCCATAAGGAATAACGTAGTGAGTCAAAAGGTAGCCGACACTGACAAGTTCTAGCTTGTGCGTTGAGTACCATGAGTATCAGGACAACATTTTCATGTCAAAATGTGTTGAGTACCAAATTCTATGAGTTACAAAACAATTTAGAGTACCAAGATACACTGTACATATATTTCCATATGTATCTCCTCTTGAATTGCCTGATTGGTGCTTTTTGAAGTGTTTCAGGCCCTACATAAGGTCTTTATAAAGAAATTGCTAGTGTTTTATTTGCTCAGAAGGTTGAGTTAAAAGGTTGGGGAAAAAGAGCTGATTTCAACCCATTAATTGTATGTTGCTGTCACCATTGTATGCATTGCAGGTTTTCCATTGCTTCTGCCAATGAAAGGTTCATGAAGCTGTACTTTTATGATGCTGATGGTGGGGGAATGCAGCATTATATTGCTAAAGCATTCTGACTCCATGGCTACTTCTAGATATCTGCATCAGTGGTGGGTTTCAATTTTGTTTACTACTAGTTCACTTGCACGCTCGCTCAACGCTTCTACACAGGCACAGATGCGTCCGGGCAGGTGGGTGGAGCCTCCTGCCACCACTACTGGTTCGCTCGATCCGGACCGAACCGGGAGTAACCCACCACTGATCTGCATGCCAACACTGATAATCCCTTGCAGTACTCAGGATGATCATTTTGCTTGTTATTGATTGTCCCTCCTGGTTCATCCTATGTTCCTTTTCTATTAGTTTAACTTATCGGGATTAATTTTAGATACAGATTTAGGGTTTTTTCATAAAAAGTGCAAGATGTGTATTCAGAAGTAATCTGTCTAATAGATTCTAACACCACAGCACCTTAGACCTGTTAGTTGAATAATTGGACAAAGAGCGAAATTACTCAAGCACTTGTCTAAACTTGCTCAATCCCATTCAAACCATTTTCTCCAAATCAGGGAAAGTGAATTATATTTTTTTCCTATTGGCAGGTAACATTAAGTAGAAGGAGAAAGTAATCTATGGGAATCCACCGATCACTTTCCTTACTTTGTCCTGCATTTAAACAATAGGTATATAACCAACTATTAAAATAGGGCTTAGCAATTGAAATACAATTGTACCACATTATTTTATGCTGACATAGGTTGTATATGTCCTATGGTAAATTATAAATGTACATTCTTTTCTCACAGTAGAATAATAGTTTTAAAAGTTAAAACAAAACAAATATTAACAGTTAAACTCTTATATAAGCAATCATATCTGCTGCTAGAAAACCAAAATATAATAAACAGCCTACTAAAATATAGGGTTGAAAGATCAATATTCAGTTCCTATTTTAAGTGGCATTTATGCAAGGGAAGGAACAGGGGAAAATGACACTGCTATCCATTCAAGCCCATATGCAGTCTGGGTTAAGCAATAACAAATATTTTTAATTTGTAATTAAGCTATAAAAAGACAATAAGCAACATGGCTATAATATTAGTTCAATAGAAGTTAATGTTCAGCTGGGATGGTTTTAATCAGGAGCACTTGCATTTCAGCTATCTGAAAATTAGTACAGACATTTAGAGAAAACAGTTTGTGTAGTTCCCACATAATCTTATTGCTGTAGAATCACTTTGAAAAATCTACTTATAATTTAGTGGAACATTTATTATAGTTTTAAAATGATATTTATTTATGTAACTAATAACAAAACAGCTAAATTTATTATTGAACTTATTCAAAATGTTATTATATATAAAAATACAATGCCTTCTTCTGAATAAGTTAATCTTTCATTTTCTAGTTTGCAGTTGTTACACAAGTTTTCTAGATATCTTTTTCCACTAATTTTTAATATATGGTGTTTGACACTCCTGGATAATGTAGCTTATACAGCAATAAGCTGTATAATGCATGAAGAATTGTTCTTTATATTTGAGAACTTTACCTAAGACTAATTAGGACTTAATACCTGTTTGAACTGAAATGATTTTTCATTTTATCTCTCTAAATATACTTTTTCTAAGAAAAAATTCAAAAGGTATCTATATAGTCAAATCTTCAATATTCTTCTCTATATAGATCCTCAAGTAACTAAATCTATGTTTGAATTACAGTAATTATTAATGAATCATAGTTATGAATAATGAATTGTGTAGTTTTATTTCTATTTTTCTATAGGTGAAATCAGCTCGATCTAAATTTTCTGAATTGAAACTATTTTTGAGCATTGCAGAAAAAGAAAGAAACCACTATTATATTTTTATATTAAGCCAAACTACATACTATATAATACTTGTAAATAAAATATCACACAAAAGGCCTAATACAAAATAAAATAAAGAATATGGAGTAGTTGCAAATTATTCTCAAAATATATTTCCTGATTAACAACACAAATCATATTAACTTAAAGCTCAAATCCATAGGAAGTTAAGCACTTGTCAGACTTAACAGTACATAAATCATGGTTAGTCCAACAAATTTAGCCACTCCCTCCCCCCTTGCGATCAACTCATAGTTCAGCAAGGGTGCAAGGAGTTCAAAAACATCCATTATTTTAGTTTATCAGCAGTTTAGCATCTCTCCCAAATCTGATAGTATGATTATGGTTAGTGAGCATAGATTCATAACACTCTCAAACTCTGAATATTTCTAATTATAACTAAGATAAATAAAAATTGATCTGGCCTTTGATGATATGAAAATCTGAATTAATAGAAATGGAAGCAATGACTTATGTCTTTCTCACAGGGATAAGAAGTATGTAAGCTGAAGGACAAAACATCATTCTCTTTTCAGTTAGTGAGTTTAGTACTTTAGCTTTGAATCATTAAATTGTTACATATTTCAAATATACACTGTAGTACCACCATACAACATACAAAGTAATCCAAAGAAAAACTTGGCTTGGGAAACTCCAAACTCCTAGTTATCTAAATCTTTATGCTTGAACTTTAAAATATTTTTTCACTATGTAGGAATTCGGCATAAAAACAAGGAACAACTTCTTCCAGTGCTTAAAGGGACTGTCAGCATATCAGGACACTGTACCACTTTTTGTGAAAGATGCATGGTGATTATCTAAATATTTAGAATTTCATATTTGCTACGTACTAAGCTGAACAGAAGCTATATATAATAGATTCTTATTTGTTTTCATTTTTCTGCATTCTAGGCAAAGTACTCCTGTTTCTGTGTGTGTGTATACATACACACATACTTTTTTCCAAAGCCTGTACTTTGTAAGTTCAAAAATTAAGTTTAGAATAGTGAGTCTTTTTCTACAATAACCAGTTCTCTCCTTTTTATCTTGCTTCATTTAAGTCTATCTTGCTTTCCTATTCCATTTTAGATGAATGAGTCTATGTGTGGAGCGTATAAATCTAAAATGCAGAAGGAAACATGATCTGTCCCAAATGATTTCAGCACAACAGAAAATATAGCTTCTTTTGTACATCAGTTTTTGCCTTTTTACTTCCTGATATTAACATCAGAAGAAGGAAGATAAATTCAGTATATAATAGAAATCAAATTTGAAGGAATTAATTTTTCATTAGCCAATATTGCAACTAATGTTCACCATCATGCAGGATGAATTTACAAAACAAAGGTTTTCTTTCTGCATTTTTACCCGTTTTAAAAGTTTTACATTTATTCTTCCAACTTCTGCTGACCTTTACTCTCTTGCTAAACAAACACATTTCTTGCCCTAACCGGTTATTTTTAATTGAACACGTCACACTGACTGACTTGCTTTCTCCTCCCCTGACCCCAAGTTGTTATTCAACAAGAGAAATAATCACTTCTGAAGAAAATGACTCTTTATGTACTCTTTCTCCCCACATCACACACAACCAGAAAATAAGCTCACCCAAGTGTCCCAATATTTGGAAGCTGGGGGAAAAAAATGAAGCTGAGAGGGAGTCTACTTGGCTTCCTAACTTTTTCTCAAGAGGACCCAATGAGATTTGTTTCCTGTTGTTCTATTTTTTAACATCCCCCCCCCCCCCCCCCATCATCGACTGCTTCTAAAACGTTTCCTCCCAGGTTAA